CCAGACTAAACGAACTCAGAATGTATCAAAAGCAAATTTACGAAAAATCAGATTGCCATGAGTGTTTACAAAATTACGAATACAGTAATCGCGAAACTATCCACAGTTGCTGATAATCGTAACATTAATTATAATATTGCGATTCCCCCATATAACAAAGTACCTTCAATGCAATTTGAGAGAAGCAACGCTTTGGAGACGAGGTGATGACGCTGTACCGTTGAATTCAAGAAGCTAGAGCTTGCTAATGTTTTTTTAGAAGCACTGAGATCTATCAAGAAACACAACGAATGTCAGGTTACTAGAAGGCTGACTAGTTAGATGATGCAGCATTGATCAAAACAAGCATGAAATGAATAATGAAATGACACGATTTTCGGCCACACCAATGAAAAGCTTTTCGAATCTGACTTAGTGACCAACCAGTAGTCGTTTCAGATATTAGAAATCAGCGAATACTTATCCGTACAACGAATGTGAGAAACTGTGATTAAAATTCATTAAAATTTACTTGTGAATCGATTTTTACTCATTCGCTGCTATCTACGTCGCCAACATGCACTAATTATTCGAATCTGTTTTTTGGTCACTCCATATGTATGATGACCACAGTTGCGAGCAAATTAGTAGGCACCTTCTGACCAGTGGATCTAACTTTTCTATATATGCGAACATATATGGTTTTCTGCTTGGCAAATTCCCCATTCGCTTACCAATGGTCCTTAGAATTCCCGGACACCTTATGCAGGTCAATTTTTTTGTTACTAGGATGCACCCACACGCCAGGATACCTACCGGAATTTATGTCCGTGACAAAAAAAATTCAGATAAAACTTCAATTTACCGCCTGGATTTGGAGTATAAGCTCGACGCATTGAGCATCTGCAACGCCTTTCAATTTCAAATAAACTTCGTCGAATACTACACGTACGAATGTTCTCCGGGTCGAAAAACGACAGAGTCTTTGCTCGATGTTCATCAGTTTCCTCAAAACAACCAGCGCCCGCATATTTGTGCCTCTGGAAGAAATGATTTTGTTTTGTTTTGGAGTAAATGATCTTTAAATAGAACACT